GTACGAAAAGTTAAGTTTATGAATGTGTATATCCCCAATGTAATACGGAAACTTATAAATTTTTAAGAAGAACCTACATTTTGCATCAATTTTGCAACGAAGAAAAACAAAAACAAAACACAGATACAGAGAACTGTCAAATAGAATTAAGAATGTGACCGTGGGAATTGGGTAATTCGTGATCGTAGTTGGGGGAGCGAGCAAATTTAATTCAGGATGCAGTGGGAAATAACTTCGTTCTCCACTGAAGCTTCAACCTAGGAAAAAAATAATTATTTTTGTTGATCAAAATTAAAAGTGTACTGGTCCTATAGCTTAGAGTTAATCTAGTTTATGAGTGTGATTAGTCTTACTCCATACCGAAAAAAAAACAAAATTGAAAGTATATAGATGATGCTCGAATCTAATCGCTCTCGGATCAGATCGGGTTTGCACGTTAGAGATCTTTATGGGATTAAGATGTGCTTTTTGTTTCATTCCAATCGTTTCCCGAGCGCTAAGAAGGAAGGAGTTTCCTCTGGATACATATAAATTTAAAGAAAATAAAAACTCATTAGCGCGGAAGCCTAGTCTGTGGCCATTGCCACAAATGTAGGTACATATGTACAAAGAGGAATCTTCAGTTACACGCTACCTCCGAATGGTTTTATTGGAAACGTGCTCATTAGCGTCGACTGGAGAAAGGTTTTACCTTCGGCGAGGGTATATATAATCGACAAACTCTCACGCTTCTGACGCTAGTAAATAACTTCTTTTGTCATTTAGATCAGTTTTCAGTCTTCTATAGATTTAATATGAACACAATTGCGCAGAGAAAAAGCTCTCACTGATTTAAATGCCTAGGCTTAGAACATCTTTAACTTCTAAGTAAACTAAATAAAATAAAAAAGTACGTAATATCGTCAGCTCCCCATTTACTTAACTTTGGTTTAATGCATGCCTTTGTTCTCATCTCATCTGACACGTGTCTGTCTATTAGCAACATCTTAGTATTTATCAGCTTTGAAGCCATTAAAAAATATGACACTTGACTTCATTAGGTTAGCTACAAAGAGTGAAGATATGTTATGCTCCATGAAAAGGAAAGTATAGTGTCTATCATAACACCCATGACACCCACATATTGACAAGTTCTGACTATTAATTTTTTATTTTTATTATTATAATTTTTTTAATAAAACTATAGTTTATTCCTAATCAAAACAATATAAATCCACATTTAAAAAATGAAAAAAAAACAACAAATTTTTATTAAAATTCACATTTACAGGTCTATCCTGAACGTTACCGCAGATTTTGTAACCTGAAAATTTTGTTGCCAGTTCTTGTCACCGCGATTCTATGTACGTTGGTAATGCAGTTGAAATATTCAGCAATTCAGCTATGAAGATTTGTGGAAATTCCGACATTGCATATTTCATGGGGCAAAATTTTGTTACCAGCTTATGAGATGGTAACAAAATTTACTGGTTGCAAGAGTACAGAGAATGCGAAAAGGGTCGAAAAATTGGCAGGAACTTTATTTACCGGTTACCCATTCAATGCTGGTATAATAAAGTGTCAATCTCTTTCTTTCATACGAAGCTCGTAATACGTAAAAGATTGGCGTATGTTACTTTCGGCTGGTTTTGAGCAATCCCGATTGAAGTTTGGAATGCATTTTCTCAAAGACGAGGCGATAGATTTTCTCCAAGCCTTAAATTATTATTTTTTTATTGTTTACTGTTAAATATTTTTGAAAATGTGATAAAAAGTGTACTAAACAAACTATACTTTTTAACCGACTTCCAAAGAGGAGGTTATCAGTTCGTCGGTTTTTTTTTATGTATGTTACCGCATAACTTTGGACCACATTAACCGAATTCGATAATTCTGTTTGCGTCGGAAAGTTAGTGTCTCAGAGGTGCTCTCATACTAATCTGGTTTAGATCCGATCATTGGTTCATATATATATATATATATTTGTTTTTATATGAGAATTGAAGTCGGTTTTTTTGCTAAAAATTACTTGTTTGTGATTCCACTTGCACCGAATAGGTGTGATCACAGACTCGGAATGTCGGCTCTGCCCTGAAGATGATGAAACTTCTTTTACTCAGGCGACGATATGTATGTAGGTATGTATATTCGACATTTTTTT